GAGATAAGCAAGGATTTATTTCAGCCTGTGTGTTTGTCCTTGTTGATAGGACAGGTTATAAATCAAGTAGGTTAGCACTCAACATACAAGGAAAATAAGTGAGCACAGATCACCGATCCGGAAAGATAAGGTCAGTTAGCTAAATCCCAGATGCTTATAGAATTGAGCAGTGTATAGATTTTGTGTGACACATGCTAGTTATCGTCCATAACCATCCATCATGCCTAGGCCATGAAAGCATGATTTGGAGTCTAGGATTGGTTGGCTGTTCAAAAGAAAGAAGCAGAAAGTCAAAATATTGAAAGCATGCTTGTTAAATCGCTGTTTGTTAAAATGAATAAAAACCAACATTTATAAAGCTATTTGCATCTATCTAATCAGCTCGGTTTTTCATTATGGGGGCTTTATTCCTAATTTTCAATATTTTTTTTCACCTTCCGATAAGGGTTGGTATGTTCCAATATCCTTTTTGTATATGCTAAACTTTGGCTGCTTATAAATTGGAGTACATACACACACTCCTATGCATGCTTTTTAAATATAACAGGTTTTTTTTACAAAAATGGCTTATATTTCTTAGTGCTTGGAGCAAAAGTACACTACTTTTCTACTGAATATTTTTCCACTTGTTTTCCAAATAGTGGGGTGGGACTTAAAAGTTTCTTTTTAATTTGTCTTTTCCTTTTTTATTGGACAAACAAAACTTGGAAGCAAAACAGGAAAATAAGTGCCCAGACACAAACCCTGACAAATAGTTACATGTACAAATACGAATAGGAATCTAAATATAATAAACATCGGCATTTATGCTGTCTAGAGAGAACACCCTTGAAAGAGCACTGTTAGAATGGCGATGGAACCATGGTTCAGATATGAACAAATGTTGAGACTCTGGAAAGAGTGCAGTGAAGAGCAATATGAATGATTAGAGGGGGGATGATGATGATGATGATGATAATAATAATAACAACAACAACAACAACAACAACAATAATAATAATAATAATAATAATAATAATAATAATAATAATAATAATAATAAGTTGGAAGGGACCTTGGAGGTCATCGAGTCCAACCCCCTGCTCAGGCAGGAACCCTACATCATTTCAGACAAATGGCTGTCCAGTCTCTTCTTAAAAACTTCCAGTGTTGGAGCATTCACCGCTTCTGGAGGCAGGTTGTTCCACTGGTTAATTGTTCTAACTGTCAGGAAGTTTCTCCTTAGTTCTAGGTTGCTTCTCTCTTTGGTTAGTTTCCATCCGTTGCTTCTTGTCCTGCCCTCAGGCGCCTTGGAGAATAGCTTGACTCCCTCTTCTTTGGAGCAGCCCCTGAGATGTTGGGAAGACTGCTATCATGTCCCCCCTCGTCCTTCTCTTCATTAAACTAGACATACCCAATTCCAGCAACCGTTCCTTATATGTTTTAGCCTCCAGTCCCCTAATCATCTTTGTTGCTCTTCTCTGTACTCTTTCTAGAGTCTCAGCATCTTTTTTACATCCTGGTGACCAAAACTGGATGCCGTATTCCAAGTGTGGCCTTACCAAGGCATTGTAAAGTGGTATTAATACTTCACGTGATCTTGATTCTATCAGGAATTGGGTATGTCTAGTCCAGGGGTAGGCAACCTTGGCTCTTTTATGACCCGTGGACTACAACTCCGAGAATTCCTGAGCCAGCCATGCTGAGGGGAAAGGGAGAGGTTTCCAAGCTGAGCCACGCTGGCTCAGGAATTCTGGGAGTTGTAGTCCACGAGTCATAAAAGAGCCAAGGTTGCCTACCCCTGGTCTAGTCTAATGAAAAGAAGGACTAAGGGAGACATGATAGCAGTGTTCCAATATTTGAGGGGCTCCTACAAAGATGAAGGGATCCATCTATTTTCCAAACACCAGAAGGCAAGACGAGAAACAATGGATGGAAATTAATCAAGGGGAGAAGCAGCCTAGAACTAAGAAAACGGTGAGAGCAATCAACCAATGGAACAGCTTGACTTGGGTGCTCCATCACTGGAGCTTTCAAAAAGAGACCGGACACCATTTGTCTAAAATGATCTAGGACAGGGTTAGGCAACCTTGGCTCTTTCATGACTCGTGGACTTCAACTCCCAGAATCCCTGAGCCAGCATGGCTAAGCATGGAAACCTCTCGCTTTCCCCTCAGCGTGGTTGGCTCAGGAATTCTGGGAGTTGAAGTCCACGAGTCATAAAAGAGCCAAGGTTGTCTACCCCTAGTATAGGGTCTGCGTTGGATTAGAAGACCCCCCACGGTCCTTTCCAACTTTATTATTCTAAATGGGATCTTAATTGTAAAGTTGTTCAGGCTTTTTACTTTGACACTGAGTTTTTGTGCACTAGCTAGCACTGACTAGGCATAGATTTGGGCCTTCGTAGCTGAGTCGGACCCAGCAATCATCAGATAAATTGGCTTATTCCTTGTGTCAGGAAGGTATTTGGTTTCTTGATTACTAAAGTCACGGATGTGTGAAAAGTAGGCCATAGGTTGAAGGCCATGTGCCCCTTGCATGTGCAAATTAGGCGTGCAGACGCCGCTGTGCTCTCTCTGGTAATTTGCTGCCATGTTAAATGGCTACGCAGCAGTCATTAAACTCCAAAGTCCTTGGATCCTGCCAAAAGAGAGATTGAATTATTTATGGCAGGAGCAGCTATCAATAGTAATTACCGCACATCCTTGCACAAGTACAGAGTTTTTATTTCAAGAATAGGGCCCAGGCTGACAGGGGTCAGGGGTCAGACTCACTCAGACAAGAGCCCCCCCCCCCCCAAAAAAAGGCAAAATCCATATTCGGTTCGTCTGAACCAGGGAATTTGTATTGTCTGCCTTCATTCTTTAGGGATTCAAGTTGCTGTTTATTCCTGGTTGGTCCCATGTTTGCCCCGGTTAAAATCATGGAAGACGCTCCTGCAGATCAGCTAGCTGCAGCTTTTTTCTTTTTTTTAAACAAATTTTTATTCATTTTTTAAAATAAACAAATATACAATTATGGCATACATTAATAATAATAAAAAAAGAAATAAAAACCTCCTATTCTAAGATGCTCAACAGCCTCCCAGGACCACATTCACCCTCTCTTCTCCCTACTTCCCTACTCCTCCTTCCTTCCACCTTCCTTCTTCCTCTCCACCCTCTCAGCAACTCTACCCTACACATCCCCCCTCCTTCTCTCCTCCTCTTTCAGATGTGGTCCTGGAGGTCGACTGAGCCACCTTTCTTCAATAAGTACATTATATCTCACTACCATTCTAGTATACCAAAATATAACTATACATAAGAAATCCCTTTCCCCCCTCCCCCCCCTGGACTTCCCGGAACCAAATACAGGATTAAAACACCTCCCGTTCCATATCTAAATTACAGGTTTCGCATCTTGCTGAAATGGCAAAAATTTCGGCTTATCTGAAGGATCATTCAAATGAACAATTTTTATCAATATGGAGAAGATGGATTGTTTATATTCAAAATAAGCATAGAATGGTGGAATATAACTTAGGTTTTTAGATAATTTGTTTTCTTTTTTTTTTATATATTTCACCTACTTATGTAGAATAATATTTTGTGGAGTTAGGGATATTAATAGTAGTTTACTTTTAGTTGAATAGTATCCTGGGATTAGGTTTGGGAAGTCCGGGGGTGGGGGGTGGGGGGTAGGGTTTTTACATTGTGATGTATTGTGATGTGTTTTTTTTTCTATGATGAAAATAATAAAATTTATATTTGAAAAAAAAAATAAATAAATTACAGTTTGACTAAACAAGCATAATACAATCAATATTTACGTACTTTAACTCTAATGCTGCAGCTTTTTAATATGATCGTTTTTGCCTTATTTAATCCAATCGGATGATTGGAAGCAGAAGAGCCACTTAATCCCCCCCCCCCAAAAAACATAAGAGTTTTAAAAACATAATTTTTAATAAATGCGTTTTTATTTTGAACGTGGATTAGCGTGAGATAACATAAAACTGCTTATTTTCAGTGGTTCTGGCGAAAGACGTTTCTTTAATGAAATTATTCTCCATTCAGTTTTGACTAATACAGTTTGTTAGCATCTTAGAATAGAATAGAGCTGGAAGGGACCTTGGAGGTCTTCTAGTCCAGCCCCCCCCCCCCGCTCAAGCAGGAGAACCTATACCATCTCAGACAAGTGACTGCCTAGCCTCTTCTTAAAAATTTCCAGTGATGGAGCGCCCACGATTTCTGGAGGCAAGCTGTTCCACTGGTTAACTATCCTCACTGTTAGGAAGTTTCTCCTTAATTCCAGGTTGCTTCTCTCTTTGATCAGTTTCCAACCATTGTTTCTCGTCCTGCCCTCTGGTGCTTTGGAGAATAACGTGACCCCCTCATCTTCTTTGTGGCAGCCCCTCAAATACTGGAATACTGCTATCATGTCTCCCCTATTTCTTCTTTTCTTTAGACTAGCCAAACCCAAGTCCTGCAGCCGTTCTTCCTATGTTTTAGTCTCTAGGCCTTGCATCATCTTAGTTGCTCTTCTCTGAACTTCTTCTAAGGTCTGAACATCTTAGAATAAGATGGAAATGGACCACTGAAAATCCTTATTTTACTCAGGTAGAGAAAGATTTATCTCTTTGAGGTGCATTGATTGTGTACACAGAAGCTTGTAAATTCATTTCTGGCCATTGCAGCTGGTATAAATTCAATCTGTAAATAAGTAGTCATAAAACACAAGGGCTATTTTGGTTTGTCTTGTCTACATGTACTTTATTTTAAGACCTTGTTACGCATTAGCCGCGTGAAACTTTTTTTTCCCCTTTCCAGATTTGTTCTAGTTGAGGGAGTTTATTATCTGTTCAAAAATTCCTTTTCGTTTCTTTTTCAGGAGAAAAACTGGAAGAATTAAAGTTTTGATTCAGACGACTGCCAAACTGCTCAGATTTCTCTGAAGAGTCCAGCTTAAAAAGTTTGTCAAGAGCAGAACAGCTTGCCAAATCTGACAGTGAGCAGAAAGGCTTTTTTAATTGCTGAGCCATGATCTGTTCAAAAGTTTTCATCAGATTGCTGTGGTTCTTCTACGCGTTCCTCATTTTTCAAGGTAAAGTCGCGCTTGTAAAATTTCAGGTTTTAAGGAATGGTCTTGATGCCCCAAATGTTTTATGCACGATAGAAGACACTCTTAACGTTTGGTTTGCAGTTTGAAATACAGTGATAAGCTCCTGCAAGCTTCCAAAACTTTTAATGTCTTTTGAAAACCAAAAGGTACAAAATAATACAAGGAATCTGGCACGAAGGTTACCGACTGCTGGTCTGCGGTTAAAAAAAAAAATATTTTTATGAATGTTTTTACATTGTTTAGGCGGAGATTTGAGATAAAATTACTTTAATTGGCCTGTGCTTCTTAACTGAATATAAGATTAGGAATTTTGGTTGGAGAAGTGAAGTAGAATTTGTGAAAATGGGTGATTAGCTGAATAAGAAAACAGAAACGAGGATTTTTTTTTGTTATTTAAAACATAATGACTGCCAGATTTTCTTAACGTTTATGGAGAATTTTTGAAAAAATAATATTGTGTTTGTCTTGCTTTTAAATACATATGCAAATAATAATAATAATGATGATGATTGATGATGATGATGATGATGATGATGATGATGATGATGATGATGATGAAGTTGGAAGGGACCTTGGAGGTCATCAAGTCCAACCCCCTGCTCAGGCAGGTAACCCTATACCATTTTGGACAAATGGCTGTCCAGTTTCTTCTTAAAAACTTCCAGTTACAGCCAAGCTCCCTATCTTAAATTGCCAAAATTACACAAGCACAAGTGTCTCCCAGTGATAAGATCTAACTTTTGGGAAGTTGTGAAGAGTCTGAGAGAAGACGAGGAGAGAGGCTAGACCTCAGCATTCAAGAGCTAGCAAGGAAGGCTACTGACAAATTCATTTTATAAATAGCAGTTCAGTACAGGTGTCCAGAAATCTGGGGGGGAGGGACCCTTCATATTATGTCAAAGTCCCTATAGATGGGGGTTGACTGTTGCCACTGCAGCTTCCAAGATTCTGTACAGGTAGTCCTCAACGTACAACCGTTGGTTTAGTGACTGTTCAAAGATAACAACGGCACGGAAAAAGGTGAGTTGTGACCATTTTCCTACACTTACAACCAGTACGGCATCCCCATGGCCACGGGATCAAAGCTGAGGCACTTGGCAACTATTCATATTTACGACAGTTCCGTGTCCCAGGATCAGGTGATCACCTTTTGCAATGAGTGGGGGAAGGGGAAACCAGATTCAACAAACAGCCGCGTCACTAACTGCAGCGATTCACATTATAACTGGCAAGAAAGGCCCTCAGATGGAGCAGAATCCACTTAACAAATGTCTTCCTTAACGACATACATTTTGGGCTCAATTACGGCCGTAAGTTGAGGACGTAAGTTGTAAGTTGTATTAAAAGATCCCTTAGGGAGGTCCATGTGGTTCTTCCTGCTTTGATCCTGCCCAGTTGTGTGAGGCGTGTCACGAGTTCTGTCGGTCAGTTATAAATTTTCATGGCCCTCCTAGCACTAGGAAGGTCCATTCCCTCTGAATCTTTGTGAAAAATAGGCTTCACAGGTTAGAGAATACTATAGAGAAGCATCTTTTTTTAAAAAAAAAAAACAATTTTTATTAGTTTTCCATTTTACACCAACAGAAGCTTAAGAGCCAACATGGAGATATGGTGGTCAATTACAAAAGAAACAATAACATTATAAATATACAATTCACACAATATTTCTTAAAATTTCCCTCTCTATCTATGTAGAATATTATAATCAAGTAAATTCAAATAAATTCATTCATTAATATATCTAAATATAAGTTCCCTTAATCCAGTGGTTCTCAACCTTTTTAATGCCGCGACCCCAACCGGTCGTAAGTCGAGGACTAAACCAGTCGTAAGTCGAGGACTAAACCGGTCATAAGTCGAGGACTAAACCGGTCATAAGTCGAGGACTAAACCGGTCGTAAGTCGAGGACTACCCAGCCGGTCGTAAGTCGAGGACTTTCCCTGCCCGGGAGCGCCGCGCATGCGTGGTTCCGCCCCCTGCCCCGGCCGAGGCATAGCTGGGAAGCGGCAGAGATGGAGCAGGCCGACCACCAGCTGGCCCAGCCCAAGGGACCCACCGGAAAAGGGGGAAAGGGGGAAAAAATGGCGGACAGCCTTGCTTGGCGACCCCCGTGAAATGGTCGATCGACCCCAAATGGGGTCCCGACCCACAGGTTGAGAACCACTGCCTTAATCAATAAAAACTTTCAACCACTCACCATCAATGTAATAATCAAATTAGTACAATCCTAAAACCAATTCATTCATTAATATATCGCTACATATAAATTAAATGCTTAAATCTAAACTAACGCTCTCTATCTATTTAAATTATTGTAATCTCAGTACATTTCTAACACAAATTTTCATTAAATATATCGCTACATATGAATTTCATTAATCAATAAACGTTTACAAAAGCTCATTATCTATCCCAAAGATCCTGTTTTACACTTTATTAATTTTTCAAATGTTTAAATTTAAACTAACCTATTTATTTTACTATTCAGGGGCCCCAAATTTCTCTTATTTAAACATATTAGCTCCAAAACTAAATTCTTACATTTCTCAGCTATATTTCTATTTATCAATAATTCTCTATAGAGAAGCATCTTGAAGGCCTTAACTGTAAGCATCAGCCTGTATCATGGGGAAATAAATCATAAATACCCGTATATTGGGTCGACAATAACAGAATAACATAGTTGGAAGGGACCTTGCTCAAGCAGGAGACCCTGTACCATTTCAGGCAAATGGTTGTCCAAAGATGGAGCACCCACAACTTCTGAAGACAAACCATCCCACGGATTAATTGTTCTCACACTCAGCAAATTTCTCCTTAATTCTAGGTTGCTTCTCTCCTTGGTTAGTTTCCATCCGTTGCTTCTTGTCCTGCCTTCAGGCGCCTTGGAGAATAGCTTGACTCCCTCTTCTTTGGGGTAGCACGTTAGATGTTGGAATGGATATAGATATTGTGACTGCTATCATGTCACTCCTAGTCCTTCTTTTTATTAAATTAGACACGCCCGAGTCCTGATTACACATTCCTCAGACTTTTACGAAAGATATGAGTCAGTTTAGATTAGTTAAAATTGTAAGAAAGGAATTCCGGCGTAGTTGAAGCTTCCAAACATTCTTTATTGACTTGAGTTTTTGTCTGGAGATGGCAAAACGGTAGATCCCTCTAGGTGAGGGATAGGTGCCCAGGAAAGATCACTTTTGCTCAGTCGCCTAATAAAAAGCTCTAAGGAGCACTTCCAAATCCCATGTCACTTCTTCAGAAGTTTCACTCCATCCCAGAATGCGTTGTGCTGTGTTTTTCAAAGCTGCGGCCTGCGATGCTACTCATTTGTCAATATTTTAAGTGTGCTGAAGTCTCACACAGCTGCCTTGTAGCCGATTCCAGATTCATTGGAGCCGCACTACTTAAATCAGCACTAACTTCATTTGATTTCCTATACACCGGCGCCACTTTTTAACAGGCGTACCCAATTTGTTTATAAAATGTTAATTTCTGATTTCGTTCCTGGTCCTTTCCACAGGTGTGTGGACGTGTGACATTTACGGGTTTGTGTCAGTCCATTTAAGTGGTTCCTTTGGCAGTTCCCGTTATTTTGTTTTCAGTCAATGGGATGTAATGATTTCCCCGGTTTTCAGTCGCTGTAGTTATTGGGAAACAAAAGAACAGTCTTTAGAAGCTATTGATCCCAAATCCATTTGAAGTACTAAATTATTGCAGTTGGTTTTCTCGAAACGGGAAAATGAAAATGCGTTTTAAGTTGTAAACCTCTGCTGCCCTGCTAAAGCTAAAATGCAAAATGTCTTTTTTTTTTCCCCCTTAATCTTTTAAGAGCAGACTTCTGGGCAAATTTTTGATAGGTATTTCTTGGAATTTTATTCAACTTGCAACCACGATTGAGCCTAAAATTTAAGAGAATTTTGCCACATTTTACGACCTTTCCTGCCGTAGTTGTTAAGTCACTCACCACAGTTGTTAAAGTGAGTCACACAATTGTTAAATGAATCCGACTTCCCCGTTGATTTTGCTTGTCAGAAAATCATAAAAAGGGGATCGCAGGACACTGCAGCCGTCACAAGTATGAGTCAATTGCCAAGCGTCTGAATTTGGACTCCGTGACCCTGGGGATGCTGCGGTGCTCATAAGTGTGAAAAAGGATCATAATCATAAGTCACTTTTATCAGTGCCGTTGTAACTTTGAACGGTCACTAAATGAACTGTTATATATAAAGGACTAGCTGTAGTTCCTTCTAGAGTTGGGTTAGGCAACCTTGGCTCTTTTAGGACTCGTGGACTTCCAACTCCCAGAATTCCCGAGCCAGCCATGCTGAGGGGAAAGGGAGAGGTTTCCAAGCTGAGCCATGCTGGCTCAGGAATTCTGGGAGTTGAAGTCCATGAGTCATAAAAGAGCCAAGGTTAATAATAATAATAATAAATAAATAAATAAATAAATAAATAAATAATAATAATAATAATAATAATAATAATAATAATAATAATAATAATAATAATAATAAAGTTGGAAGGGACCTTGGAGGTCATCTAGTCCAACCCCCTGCTCAGGCAGGAAACCCTATACCATTTCAGACAAATGGCT